TATCCATGATGCTCAGGGATTTTTTTAGAGCCACAAAGATAATCTTGTTGTTGTTCATTCATTTAGTCGTCTCCGACTCTTCGTGACCTCATGGACCAGCCCACGCCAGAGCTCCCTGTCGGCCGTCACCACCCCAGCTCCTTCAAGGTCAGTCCAGTCACTTCAAGGATACCATCCATCCATCTTGCCCTTGGTCGGCCCCTCTTCCTTTTACCTTCCACTTTCCCCAGCATAATTGTCTTCTCTAGGCTTTCCTGTCTCCTCATGATGTGGCCAAAGTACTTCAACTTTGTCTCTAGTATCCTTCCCTCCAATGAGCAGTCGGGCTTTATTTCCTGGAGGATGGACTGGTTGGATCTTCTCGCAGTCCAAGGCACTCTCAGAACTTTCCTACAACACCACAGTTCAAAAGCATCTATCTTCCTTTGCTCAGCCTTCCCTAAGGTCCAGCTCTCACATCCGTAGGTTACTACAGGAATACCATGGCTTTGACTAGGCGGATCTTTGTTGCCAGTCTGATGTCTCTACTCTTTACTATTTTATCGAGACTGGACATTGCTCTCCTCCCAAGAAGTAAGCGTCTTCTGATTTCCTGGCCACAGTCTGCATCTGCAGTAATCTTTGCACCTAGAAATACAAAGTCTGTCACGGCCTCCACATTTTCTCCCTATATTTTCCAGTTGTCAATCATTCTTGTTGCCATAATCTTGGGTTTTTTTTATGTTTAGCTGCAACCCGGCTTTTGCGCTTTCTTCTTTCACCTTGATTAGAAGGCTCCTCAGCTCCTCCTTGCTTTCGGCCATCAAAGTGGTGTCATCTGCATATCTAAGGTTGTTAATGTTTCTTCCAGCAATTTTCACCCCAGCCTTGCATTCCTCAAGCCCCGCACATTGCATGATGTGTTCTGCATACAAGTTGAATAGGTTGGGTGAGAGGATGCAACCCTGCCGTATGCCTTTCCCAATCTTGAACCAGTCTGTTGTTCCTTGGTCAGTTCTTACTGTTGCTACTTGGTCCTTGTACAGATTCCTTGTACAGATATCCATGATGCTCAGGGATTTTTTTAAAGCCACAAAGGTAATCTACGGACCAAGAAATCATGGCATACACCCTCCTACACTCATCAGATGGAACCAAACTTCTGAAGGACAAAAAATCAATTGCACTACGTTAGAAAGAGCACTACCACAACCTCCTGATTTGTTCTCTCACAAATCCCGCAACAACTAACCAGGGATGAGCTTGCAGCTCTGCCTGGTTTGGAGGAAGTCAGCCAACAAAAACATAACAAAGCCAGTGGACCTGATGGGATCCCTGCTGAGATCTTTAAAGAGGGTGGACCTGATACAACAAATCCACCAGTTCATTGAAAACATGTGGATGACTAAGAAAATCCAAGAAGACTTCAAGGATATCACCATCATCACCCTTTTCAAAAAAGGGGAAACAACAGATGCATCTCCCTTCTGACCTCCGGTGGGAAAATCCTTGCAAGAATCTTTGGAAACCGCCTTTTACCTGGGAAGACACCCTACCAGAATCTCAGAATGGCTTCCGACCCTCCAGAGGAACAGTAGACATGATCTTCACTGGACGACAGCTCCAAGAAAATTATTATATAATATATAATATTATAATACTTACTTAGTTATGCAATCCCTTGTAGCCCGAGGATGATGGTCCTTCTAGTGTAGTGTCTTGGTGGTGGGTCTATAGGTGGCTTTGGAGACCTATTCTTGTTTGCATGTTCTCCTGCAGTGAGGACATTGGTTTCCAGGCAGAAGGTGGTCCCAGTCTGGGTTGGCTTGACATGCCTTACTCTTGTCACCTTTCTCCCTTTCGCCCTCCATTCGTGCCTTTGAATTCTGCAGCACTGCTGGTCACAGCTGATCTCCAGTTAGAGTGCTCAATAATGATTATAATTATATAATATATAATTATATATATAATATATATATTTATATATTTATAATATATGTAATAAAGTACAATAAATGACTATGTTCTAGAAGCATTATCTCCTGATGTTTCGCCTCCATCTATGGCAAGCATTTTCAGAGGTTGTGAGGTCTCACAAACTCTGAGGATGCTTGCTTGCCATAGATGCAGGCAAAACGTCAGGAGGGAATGCCTCTAGAACGTGGCCACATATCCTAAAAAAACCTACAACAACCCAGCAAAGATACATATTTCAAAATCCTCCAAAGTCCCAAATGTGAACAGAAATAAACATATTAAAAACATTTCAGATGAAAGAGCCTCAACCTACACTATACTGAAAATTTAGTTATGAGAAAAAACCTAATTGTACAGAATGGAGTCATTTTTTTAAATGTTGAGGCAAACCAAATTCCTATAATACCAGCATTAAAATACATTATTAAAAGGCAATATTTTTAATCTATTTTATATTAATCCCATTTTTTTATTTTCATAAAGGGACTCATTTGAGACTTATAAAACCAGGGCAAAAACAAAACAGTCAAAATAACAACAATGGTACACAACAGTGGGCCCCATGTCAGTGAAATGGGGAATCCAGTCCCAGTTTTACCTCATACCTTCAAGGAGCTTTCCAAGGTCCTGAGCCTCTAGCAGCCATTCAGCACCTTAGAAGACTCCTTTGAAGTCCAAAGTAAAACCCGGAGTGGATTTTTTTCCTATTGGCTTTGTAAAATATACAAATAGAGTCTCCTTGTGGAGAGAAAAAGTGAGGTATAACAATAATAATAATAATAATAATAATAATAATAATAATAATAATAATTATTATTATTATTATTATTATTATTATTATTATTGGAAGTTTTGGAACACAATGCACCAGACATCACGATTGTGGAAAAGAAAAAAGTTTGGATGATTGATGTTGCCATACCAGGTGACAGTCGCATTGAGGAAAAACAACAGGAAAAATGCAGCCGCTATCAGGACCTCAAAATCGAACTGCAAAGGCTCTGGCATCAACCAGTACACGTGGTCCCAATGGTCATTGGTGCACTGGGTGCCATGGCAAAAGACGTCAGCCAGCATTTGGAAACAATAAACATTGACAAAATCACGTCTGTCAACTGCAAAAGGCCACCTGACTTGGATCTGAACACATCATTTGAAAATACATCACACAGTCCTAGACGCTTGGGAAGTGTTCTACTTGTGATTTTGTGATACGAAATCCAGCATATAGATCTCGTTTGCTGTGACATACTGTGTATTTGTGTCAGTAAAATAATAATAATAATATAAATATACAAATAGGAGTTTTCTTGTGGGGAGAAAAAGTGAGGTATAAATAATAATAATAATAATAATAATAATAATAATAATAATAATAATAATTTGAAACACAACAAGATGAGTCCACAGCAGACACTCTGCTGGCTGTTGTATTGGATCACACGTTGGACACTTCCCAAGTGTCTAGGACTGTGTGATCTATTGGCAAATAATGCGTGCAGATCCCAGTAAGGTAGCCTTCTGCAGCTGGCAGGTGGTAATTTTGTCAGCATCAATTGTGTTTAAATGCAGGCCAAGGTCTTTAGGCACTGCACCCAGTATGCCGATCACCACTGGGACCACCTTTACTGGTTTGTGCCAGAGTCTTTGCAGTCCGATATTTAAATCCTCATATTGTGTCAGCTTTTCCAGTTGTTTGTCTTCAATCCTGCTGTTACGTGGGATTGCGACATCGACAATTCATACTTTGTTTTTTAACATGATTGTGAGGTCAGGAGTATTACGCTCCCAAACTCTGTCTGTCTGAATTCGGAAGTCCCAGAGTAGCTTGGCGTGTTCATTTTCTGTAACTTTTTCCGGCTTGTGATCCACCAGTTCTTTGTCACAGGCAGATGGTGTTTGTGGCACAAGTTCCAATGGATCATCTGAGCAACGGTGTTGTGCCTCTGCCTTGTAGTCTGTCTTATTATTATTATTATTATTATTATTATTATTATTATTGTATTGTCGAAGGCTTTCATGGCTGGAATCACTCAGTTCTTGTGGGTTTTTTCGGGCTATATGGCCATGTTCTAGAGGCATTTCTCCTGACGTTTCGCCTGCATCTATGGCAAGCATCCTCAGAGGTGAGGTCTGCTGGAACTGGGAAAAAAGGGGTTTATATATCTGTGGAATGACCAGGGTGAGACAAAAGGCTTTTGTAAGTTGGGCTGGGTGTGGATCTTTCAACTAACCACCTTGATTAGCATACAATGGGCTGACTGTGCCTGGAGCAAGCTCTTCTTGAAAGGTGATTAGATGTCCCTGCCTGTTTTTCTCTCTGCTGTTTTGATTTTAGAATTTTTTAATACTGGTAGCCAGATTTTGTTCATTTTCATGGTTTCTTCCTTTCTGTTGAAATTGTCCACATGTTTTGTGGATTTCAATGGCTTCTCTGTGTAGTCTGACATGGTGGTTGTGAGAGTGGTCCAGCATTTCTGTGTTCTCAAATAATATGCTGTGTCCAGGTTGGTTCATCAGGTGCTCTGCTATGGCTGATTTCTCTGGTTGGATTATTATTATTTTTATTAATAATTATTTTTATTATTAACTTTGCAAAATATACAAATAGGAGTCTCTTTGTGGAGAGAAAAAGTGAGGTATAAATAAATAAATAAATAAATCCAAAACATACAATAGGAGTTTCCTTGTGGGGAGAAAAAGTGGGCTATAAATAAACATAATAATAATAATAATAATAATAATAATAATAATAATGACTTTCCAAAATATATAAATAGGAGTCCCCTTGTGGAGAGAAAAAAAGAGGTATAAATAATAATAATACCAATAACAATAACAACAACAACAACAACAATAATGGGGTTTGTAACCCTGGCCTTCTGGAGGCTGAGAGAGTGTGACTCTCCCATTGACTGGATGGGGCTGGTCTCTGAGGCGTGGGCGGGGCTAAGACCCCACCCCCTCCTCTTGCCCCTCCCCTCCGGCTCCCCCTCCCCTCCCCTGCTGCAAAGAAGGGGGGTCAAGGGAGTCCCCCTTGGGCTCCTCCTCTTCTTCCTCCTCCTCCTCCTCCTCCTCTTTCTCGCAGGCGCGGCTGCGCCGGATCCCGGACGGATGGAGGAGCTCTCCTTGAAGCCGCAAAAAGGGGGCCACCCTCCCGGTAAGTCTTCCAAAAGGATTGGGAGGTTGGGGGGGGGGGTAATGAAGAGAGTATCCCCAAAGCCTCCTCTCTCAGGAGACCCCTGCAGCCTCTTCCCAGGAGAAGGAAGGAATGAAGAAAAGGAAGGAGGGAAGGAAGGAAGGAAAGAGAGAGGGAAGAAAGAAGGAAATAACGAAAGGAAGGAGGAGGGAGGGAGGAAGGAAGGAAGAAGGAAGGGGGAGGGGGGAAGAAAAGAAGGAATGAAAGAGGGAAGGAAAGAAGAAGCAAAGGATGTATGTATGTTTGGATGGATGGAAGGAAGGAAGGCAGGAAAGAGGGAAGGAAAGTAGGAAGGAAGGAGGGAAGGAAGAAAAAGTAAACGAGGGAAGGAAGGAAAGAAGAAAGGAAAGAAGGAAGAAAGAAGGAAAGGATGGAAGGAGGGAAGGAAGGAGGGAAGGAAAGGAAGAAAGAAAGGAAGGAAAGAGGTAGGGAAGGAAGGAAGGAAAGGAAGGAAGAAGGGAAGGAAGGAAGAAAAAGTAAAGGAGGAAAAGAAGGAAAGAAGGAAGAAAGAAGGAAAGGATGGAAGGAAGGAAGGAAGGAGGGAAGGAAAGGAAGGAAGAAAGAAAGAAAGGAAAGAGGGAAGAAAGAAGGGAAGGAAGGAAGAAAAAGGAAAGGAAGGGAAGAAGGAAGGAAGAAAAAGGGAAGGAAGGGAAGAAGGAAGGAAGACAGGAGGGAAGGAAGGAAGGACAGAGAGAGAAACCCCTTTAAACTTCGCCCAAATCTTGGGATCAGAAGACTCCTTCTTTGCCCCAAATAAGCAGCTCAACTGGGGTCAGACCCCTTTTTGCCAAGTACTTGAACCCCTTTAGCCCATTGCCCCACTTCCTAGTCTGACAATGAGTACACTGGACCCATAATCGGACATTTCCTAGGGGTGAATATCCACGCATTAAGGGGCGACCCCTTTTAGCTATTGGGGGGGGGGGGTTAACAAATACCCACTTCCTAAAGTGAATCCCCCTCCCCATGAAAGGGTGCACAAGTCTTACTTCCCTCTTTGCCCCTTCGCTGCCCCCTTTCCAAAGTCCATCTTATTCCCCATATTTTTTGGGGGGAGAGGGGGTGTCAGTCCTTTGGGTGGTGCATTGTTGTGGTCTGTGTATTGTCGAAGGCTTTCATGGCTGGAATCACTGGGTTGTTGTGGGTTTTTCGGGCTATATGCCCATGTTCTAGAAGCATTCTCTCCTGACATTTCGCCTGCATCTATGATGCAGGCAAATGTCAGGAGAGAATGTCTAGAACATGGCCATATAGCCCGAAAAACCTACAACAACCCAATAGTGGTCTGTGTTTGCTTGCAAGGGTGGGATGGAAGGGGGATCCTCTAAATGGTTTTTAATTGGGGGGGGGGCATCATCCCTGCAGTCATTTTGGAAGGAGACCTGCCTTAAGAAGGCATTTGGGGCACAGGTGGGTCTCCAGGCTTCTTGGCAAGCCCTCTAGGACTCAGAGAGGCAGGGAAAGAGGCTTGGAGTATCTTCCTTGTTGCAGCAACAAGGTGTGTAAGTAAAGTGAGTCAGCAGTCGGGCCAGAAGCAGCATCTCCCAAAGCCTCATGCAAATGCCTCCTTCCTTCCCTCTCCATCAGGGCCTTCCTAATTAGGGATTGTGTAGCTTTAGGTCGGATCTGGAACTGGCATGATATGGGAGTGTAGAATCAGAAGAGGATCCCCAATGGCCATCTAGTCTCACTTTCCAACAATAAGACATCATCCAAGCCCTCCTGATAGATGGCCATCCAGTTCCTGATTCCAAACCTCATGAGAATGAAAGAGACTCCTAGAAAATGTATATAGTTGGACCCCAAAGGCCATCTATTCTAACCTTCCCACAAAAATAAGACACCATCCAAGCCCTCCTGACAGATTGCCATCCAGACCCTGATTCAAAACCTCATGAAAAGGAAGAGATTCCTAGAAAATGTATATTCCACTATAGTTGGACCCCAAGGGCCATCTAGTTTAACTTTCTGCCAAAAATAAGACACCATCCAAGCCCTCCTGACAGATGGCCATCTAGCCCCTGATTCGAAACCTCACGAAAAGGAAGACATTCCTAGAAAATGAATATTCCATGATAGTTGGACCCCAAAGGCCATCTAGTCAAACTTTCTGCCAAAAATAAGACCCCATCCAAGCCCACCGAACAGATGGCCATCCAGCCTCTGATTCAAAACCTCATGAAAAGGAAGGAGACTCTACTGGACTCCCAGAAAATGTATATTCCCCTACGCTTGGACCCCAATAAATAAATAAACAATCAAGAAACAACCAGGGCCAGCTAAGACCTCTCAACAAAGGATTCCCCGAGGCAGGAAGCAGCCAGGCTTTAAAGCTGCAAGGCTATTCGAGGTTAATCAAGATGGCCAATTGTAACATTCACACTTGCCTCCAGCAGACAAGAGTTCTTTCTCCCACCCTGGACATTATTCCACAGATATAGAAACCTGACTTACTTAGTTTCCAACAGACCTCACAACCTCTGAAGATGCCTGTCATAGATGTGGGTGAAACGTCAGGAGAAAGTGCTTCTGGAACATGGCCAGACAGCCTGGAAAAATCACAACAACACAGTGATTCTGGCCATGAAAGCCTTTGACAACACATTGAACTGGAAGTGGTTTGAGTCTGGATGTGTTGTTGTTGTTGTTCTAAAGAGGTTTCTAATCCTCCCTTGGCCCTCCAAGCAACTTTGACTCAGACCTATGGGGTTTACTGTTTGACATACTAGAAATGAGGCCACTTTCCATTCATTAATAGGGGAAATGTGAGAGAACAGAACTGCAAAAACACAATGCCAAAAATAGGGTTTCAACGTAGCTCCAAATGCTTTGCAATGAGGAAGAAAGACTATATTCAGCCCCAATTGCAAGCAAAAAATAAGCCTCCCCCCCTCCCACACTTCTCTATTCGCCCACCACTTTTGAGCTGGATTCGCCCACGCTTTGCCCTCAATAAGGAAACATCAGAAACCCCTTCCCTCTCCTGGGTTTCCTTCAATTGCATTTCAAAGATGGTCCAAGGCTCAAGGATGAGTCATTGCTAAGACGGAGGGGGGAAAAAAAATCCAGATAGTAATCCAAGAGAGTTGAGGAAACATTCCTTCGCTGCTGAGGATGGGATAAATGGGGGGTCGATACAAAAGGTAAATAGGCCTCGGTGGCTGCAGAATAGTAATGAACTTATTGTATTCATACCTATCCTGTCCTTCCCACGATGTTGGGACTTGAAACGGAACCAGCAAACCTGAGATCAAATATATCTGAGAGGCTGCAAAACCAATGAAAACAATGATTGTATTGTTTTTGAATGCTGTGAGCCGCTTTGTGTCTTAATCAAATAAGATAATGATAATGATATCCACAGCGACTTCCTGGTTCATATCTGAGACAAAAAGCTGTGGCAAGTTACTTATTGACAAGGCATCTCACCATTGGGAGATTTCCAAATACGCCAAATCTCCAGCCTCCATGTCATTTGTGCATTGAATACATACTGATGCACTCCAAAACAGGAAAAACAATCCAAAAAGGATTGTTTTGGATGGAAAACAATCCTTTTATTGAAGATAATTAAAAAAGCAATAAGGTAAAAAACACTTTAAAGAAATAGGTAAATCCAATTAGGTAGGAAAATAAGCAGGAACAAAGTAATCCAGGGCAATAGTCCAGCAAAGTCCAAAAAAAAAAAAAAGGTAAAACTTCCCAAATAAAATGCAAATAATCAGGAAACATGAACCCAAGGCATGAATATAAAGCACACAATCCAAGAATCAAATCCATGAAACAAAGGCACTTAAAACATGAATTTCCCAAGCAAAACTTCCATGAACAAGATCTTGACTTGATTCCAAACGATGCTTCATCTGACTACGTATCCTGTACTTGGGACTTTTATCTCCTCGTTAGCTAAGTCTCTAGCATTCAGAAATTGGTTTTGTTTTTCCTGAGAATTTCTTATCTTTTTCTCTCAGAACCTGGCAGACCGCCGAAGCCACTGTTCGGCTCTCCTGCTTTGACTAATCTCCTCACGTCTATTTATTATTTTATTTATTTACAGTATTTATATTCTGTCCTTCTCACCCCGCAGGGGACTCAGGGCGGATTACAATGTACACATATATGGCAAACATTCAATGCCAAAGTCACACAACAGATATATACAGACAGTTAGAGGCTATTTAACTTTTCTGGCCGCCAGGGGAGCTGTTGCTTTCATCATCCATCTGCGACACTGATGAAGTACTTCCGCATTCCCTGCACGCTTTTGCTTGAGATTTGTTTTATGGCCTTGTAAATTAGTTAAATTAGCCTCCCCACACATAGGTGGTACCTAATTTTCCTACTTGACAGATGCAACTGTCTTTCGGGTTGCAAAGGTCGATAACACGCTATGCAATTGGTCGGAAACTCACTCCAACCCGGCTTCGAACTCATGACCTTTTGGTCAGAAGTGATTTTAATGCAACTGACACTCAGACAGCTGCGCCACAGTCCTGGTCTATTTGCTCATTAATTTCTGCAGCTGGGCCAGATGCCAAGCTTTTTCCATGTTCCCTATCATGGGAACTCTCTGGTAACAATTCAGAAAGCACACCATCATCCCCACACCCCTCAGGGACATTCTCATGGGAAACTACACTTTGAACAGGGATCTCCTGGTCATTCTCTGCATCAAGATCACTGACCAAACCATTGCCATCTTGAAACTCATTGACATCACTCCCCACATCCAAAGCACCCTGATCCTGGAACACAATCACAGGCTGAGCTCCAACACATACACTCCGAGTTATCCCTTAAAGCAGTGTTTATCAACATGTGGTCGGGACCCCTGGAGGGGTTGCAATGGGGTTTCAGAGGGGTTGCCAAAGACCATCAGGAAACACAAATTTCGGATGGTCTTAGGAACCCCTTTGGCAGAGAAGGCGGAAGATCTCTCCACCTGTCCTTTTCTTCCTTTT